TGCTGGCAAACTAGGTTAAGGGAGTAAGCTAGTACAACAACAACAACCAGGAACAGCCAATAGCAAACCTCTATGAACCGTTATTTCTAAATTCAACAAAATGGAACAATGTGGAACAAACTAAAGCACTGGCGTTAACGTCAATCGGCAGCAGAACGCGTCGCCAGGGCGGGGAGGGGGCTGGAGTTGCCCCCGTCCATTAATTAGCAACAAAACCTATGCGCAAAGTATTCTCATAGGTGTTGGCGATTCGGCTTTGCACAGTTAATGCCATCGCACTCACGTTGGACAATTGGCACGCAAGCCAGAACGTACATGCGTTCGCATGGACGATAAACAAAGACGGGTGCCGGCACGTGTAAAAACACACACACTTACACTCGCTTATTAGCGATAGTCGCATACTGAAATGTCGATGCCTGGACAAGGCCAGCGCAAGTCACAGTGTGTCGGTAAAACGCGCGTGACGGCAGAGTGAAAGGAACCACCTGCTGCGAATTTTTGGCTTAGAGGACTGAAACATCACAAGCTGAATTTGGCGAACACATTTCCTATGCTGTATGTTCGAAATAATAGACTATCCTTGAATGCTGGAGGCTCGAAATATAAGCCGGACAATCGAAATTAGTATTGGTAGGACACGGGAATGGGTATCCCCGTATTACAATTAGCCGTGCGCCACAATTCAGTGGAGTTAGAAAGGGGAATAGGTTACCCCTCAGAATCTAGCACAAGGCCACCTGCTATAAAAAGGATTCATATTTTCGTAGTCGACCTAACTATTTGTTGCGGACATATCAGGTTAGGTTTGAAAAAAATTGCAATAAAACTTAAGCTGCGTAGAATAAAGGAAAAGGCACGGGCGGTAGAGTAGGACCGCAGCATGGAAACCAGCGTTACCAACACCCCTATCACAGTCTGAGGCATAACTGTCCACAGATAGACCGGATAAGATACATTAAAAGATACGAAAAACGAGTCATGAGGTCCCTCTTCATTGACCCTAAGCAGACAGACAGCCTGTCTGTAATTTATACACACGCGATTTTGTTGAAGATATTACTGAAAGTTGCTTCACCCAAGATGAAGAGGGTAGATGCAATTTCAGCGATTAAAAATTCGGATGCCAGTCATTAAGCAATTATCGCGCTAGAGGGAAATCATCCTCGATGAATGCGGGGAGCCATTAATCGTTATAGGTATGCGGTAGCATAGCGACTGCACCTTATAATTATTGCAACTCCTGTGTATGAATGATCCGTAGTTGATGAGGTCTCTGATTATGGGTTCAAGCACGAATAAAAAATATTAGGCGAGTAAAGTTCTTGTGCCGGAGGACGCATCTAATTTTTCTCGACTAAGTCCTGGGACTCGCATTTTCGTTTGTATCGGCAAAACGCGAACTACAGGGGGGTTCTGCCGTACGGCCGTTTTCGGCAATTTCCTATAAAGACAGCAGTTTTATGACTAGTCATATTTGCGGAATACGCAAGATATAGGATGAACAAAAAATCACGAGCAAACGAAAGCCGGTTAGGCAATTAACAAGACCAGAATTGGCAGGAGATGGAACGGGCAAGGCGAAGACTGTGAATCATGGTAAACCTAACGCCCGCACGGGAGTAGACGTTCAGAAGAATGGCTTTTTCATATTACCTGGCCGCTACACCTGCTGGCGCGAGGGTACGTTGTCAGAAGAAACGAGTAATCAACCGAGGCCTCGAAATGTCTGATCAACATTTAAAGGATGTATCAGAATATAGACTTAGGGTCCTTGTATCAGTCACAGGCAAAGTACACCAGAGCTTTTCAAACGCCCAAATTACTGCAGTCTCAAGACGAGATGTCTTACGAAGACTGTGCAGGTCGGGGGACTAGCGTAGGGGCCCACAAATGCATCGAATGCTGACCGCTAGCGATCCAAATCAGTTAACATCGTCCTTTATGTTAGCAACACGAAAACTAATTTGTTATTCGATTTTTCGGGGAACTGGCTACGGAACGACCCTATCTTTGAAAGAGAACTTTCCATAACCATTAAGCTGACGAAGAAGAAAGCATGAAAAGGCATAAGAAAGCAGGCACCCGTTATAATTACAGCAGCAGGATTTCATAATTGGGGTAGCCCGTAGAAGTTGTAAAAAATAGTACCAGACGATAAGAAATGATCAGGAGGACGAAAGGACACAGAAGACAAGACACCTAGTGGCAACACACACCTGAAGTCCAACGCGAATTCTCTTCTGGAGGGTGCCCTCGGGGAAGACGGCTTGCACCTGAGGCACCACGGTTGAGCTTAGCACGCCACCATCCGACCCGATCATAGCTATTTCCTGGCGTAGGCGGCTGACCACAGCAAGATATTGAGGGAAATCAGTCAGGAGGATACGGATGATACGCTTCTCACGCAGCTGCTCAGACGTCTCGAGGGAATCTGTACGACAAGGAAATTGGAAGAGTAAGGCACAGAAACGGTAACTGCCGAACTATGACAGGGACCGAAGTCCTCATAAGGGCGCCATAGAAGTCCAAGGAAACTGTCAGACGTCACCACTGACGACTTTACGAACTTTAATTAGCACACTCAGATCAAAGTTGTCAAGGTAGCTTTCAGTGGCTGAAATTGTCGGAAAGCAGAGGTTGTACAGAATTAAAAGGAATCATATGATCATAGCAGAGGCCATTACCCAGTCAGAAATCACTGACTGGAGATATAAAAGGGACTAGGCTAA